GTTCGATGGTAACTGACAGGAAATTGAAAAGTAAGAGATGTGAACACATTGAGCTTTTAGCTATTATGCTTTTGCTCAAAATGTTTGCGCTGTACTTTCGAACAGAAATGTAGTTTTACCAAAAACGCAAATCACAGCAACCCTGTAAACAGAGCAATTGCAAAGTCAATAAATGCAAGGTTTCATTATTAAAGTGATTTATTTTATATTCATTTTACAGCCCTTTCTTGAGATATTCTGTGGCCAACCATCAAATCTAATAACGATCTATAAATAAGAGTAATGATGAGTCATTGTGATCCATAAAAAGTCAGAGTCCTTGCCAGGAAAGGTATCAAACAAATGTTGCGACTGTGCAGTTTCATTTATTATTTCAGAAATAATCAGACTATCAAGCCAACTGAAGACACTGGCTGAAGAAAAAGTTTTAGATGGCACAGGTATGATAAACTGCATCAAAATCCAAGTCTCCACTGTTAGTACTGTATTTCACACAACTCTCAATGTACTCTGGCTCAATACATTCAGGGGCAGCCAGTTTTCAATCACAGTGATGGCTTTTGAGGTAACCCACAGCACAAGTTTAACTCCTGCTAGCATGGTCAGAGATTTGGAACAAAATACCTTTATTCAAGAAAAACAACTGGCAATTTTGTGAAGACATCTGGTTTCAGTAGAGAATGAACAAAAAAAATGATACCTTTAAGTACCCGCAATGTTAAACAATCTAGTCATTTTAAAGCTGCATCAAGTAAGTTTGCAGGAATCTCAAGCCAATACATGTGGAAACGCAACACAAAACTATCCATAATATGGTTCTAATTGACATCAGACCTAATCTAAACCCATAATCATATTCCTGTCCTGGAGGTACGCTAACTACACGAGCACATAGGTCAGTAATATTACAAAGATAGGTTTATCTACATTTATGAATATAAAGTGAACACTAAGAACTGGAGTGCTTAATTTCAAAATTAATGTAAATTATGGTAATGTTGAATCTATAGCAAATATACGATTAAAGTTCTCAAACTTTAATCTGATTCTGACAAGTGACTGTACCTTGTGACTGACCACATGAAACCAACTCAAATCCTCCAAATAGATACACATGCATTATCATAATCTATTAAACTCAAAGTTTCTATGCAAATATTTTGAATTAAATTACCACTAAAAACTTTTCTGAATAATACCTCAACCCGTCAAATATTCAAGGACAAAGAATGACAGTGTAACTTGGAAATTGCTGGATCCTACAGACCTGTCTGGTAAGGAAAAAGGTTACCAATGCATAATAAGTGATCTGAAGCTGTGTCTTTAGCTAACACTATATGGCATTGCTGTCAAACTGTGATAGCTCATCATACCATAGCGTTTGGTCTTTCACAGGAGAGTGAATTATTTAATTAGAAAAATCAGACACAATCAAAATGATTACTTTTGTACATAAAGGTTGTACTTTATAGCGCATTGAGAAACACAGCTCTATTACAATATGTTAACAATTTCCATGCGTTTCAAATGAAAAATTACTAATTGACTTGCTACATAACGGATGTAGAATTTTAATTTAAAAAAACGGTGAAAAGAAAAGCTGCTCTGAACAAAAAGACATAATACACCAAGTGCCACTTCATTAAATGTCAGTGACAGAGGAGAGATATCCCAGAGAGACCCTTATAGGTTTGTGGCTGGGAAACAATTGGCTGTAGTTGTCACTGAGCTGAGAAAGTGGTCAAAACAAATCAGCCTGGAAAATTCTGAAACTTAATCCCTCTTCTACACCCGAAGACACAGGTAGAGAAATAAAATGCTGGTTTACTCAAGCATTCCATTTTTTTTTTGCACACAGTCAATTCTCCATCACGGTCATTGCTGGTGGTTAGTTTCTGCAGAAGTGAATATCAAAAAATAAACTGGTCCCAATGGTTCTTATGGCAAGAATGTTTACCATTTCCATTTTAAAAAAAGGCAACGGTCTCGTTGTCCGGTAGAAATTGGGGTGAGATTGCACTGTGGTTTGCCTACAAATAATAACAAGATTATATTTGTATAGCGCCTTTCACATCAGGAGAACGTCCCAAGGCAATTAATCCTTGCATTTGATATTGTGCCTTATCACGTCTTTGAGACGTGTCAAATCGCTTCACAGAATGTACTGTAAAGTGAATTGACTGTTGACTGTATATTTTGTGGGCGATACATAAAATACAGTTAACTACTTAATAGCAAACCCTGTGCAGCTCTTTGGGACATCCTTTTGTCATGAAAGGCGCTATACCAAAACACAAGGATTGTTATCTTTGATTTTCTGGGATTGGTGAGATTTCTCACTTTGCACAACTTCAATTCTTATACAGAGAACCATTAATTCTAAACCTATTTGTATCCGATAACTTGTCCCCAGTCTTGTGTCTTACAGATAACTGTCCAAGTGCACCCCATCATCGGACAAGAATAGTTCAGCCTAAATCACTGAATGGCAATAATGAATAACAGTACCAATGGCTCAAGACATTTGGGCTACTCTACAAATTAGAACTTGACTAGTTTTCTCTCTAGCACTTGGGAGGAATGTATCTCTTCCTGTGCATCAAAAAAACATTGGTCACTCAATCCACAACTGTTTGTGGGACACTGCTGTGTTCAATTGGTGGCTGTGTTTTGCCCACAAAATATTAAGTCAATTCACTTTACAGTATATTCCGTGATAAGGCACTATATCAAATGCAAGGATTATTATTATTATCATTGCTGCTAGAGTAGAACAAGCTCTAAGCACAAGGTGAAATGAAGCTTGCGTTTTCTTCTGGAACTTGAGATATTTGAAAATAAGACTAGACAAATGGACTGCAATGTTCTTTGTCTAGTCATACGTAATCCCATGTGACGCATAAAACTCCTGCTACTCAAATATTCAGGCCTAATCAGGTTACTAATAGTTTAAAGGTGTATCAAAGGATCTGGGCAACCAGACACTAGACACAAGTATAAACAGCAATACATCAATTCTGTTTCCTCCATTGTATAGAAATTCTGAGCCAAGCATAAGAACTAATGGTAAATTATGAGATGAATGAATAGTGAGTTTATTGTAATGTTTTCTGAATAAGCTACATCAAAGTATAATTCTCCTTCTGAGGGTAACATTCCCTGTGCAGGCACAGATCAATCCTGGTGTTCAACAGTTCTGGACTGCAGTTTTGGACAGTTTCCAACGTTACTTCCTCGCACTGAAGCAGTGGAATGACATATGTTCATGCACCACCTTTCTGCGTCAAACAGGTAGGAGGTAGATTACATCAGGAACTCGAGATCTAGTTATCATTTTTGCCGTGAGGGACAGGACCAAATGGAGTTTAGAAGAGTGAGGGGGGAGGGAGGAAATGATCAGAAAGCAAGTCATCTCTGGCCATCTTTTGTCACATGCATTATTCCCCCACATTTATTACAATTCAAATAACAGATTGAAATTACAGTTGATTTTAGCACCCTGAAAAATGACATTACCAGTTAATCAGAAACTTCCAGTGGTATGGAAAATGAAATCATATCCCATTCCAGAACACCCACCACAGAGTTCACCCCGAAAAATAGTCAATATAGAAAGTGACTACTGATTCACTTTAATTTCAGCAAATTAAATAATCTTTAGAGATGTTACGATCCAACCATTAATGACTATATAATTAAGATAATATGAATAATAATAAACCTTGCATTTGATATAGCTTCTTATTACACTTCAAGACATCTCAAAGCGCTTCACAGCTTATACTGCAAAGTGAATTGACTGTATATTTTGTGGGTGAAACGCGGCAGCCAACGCTGCATACAGCAGCGTCCCACAAACAGTCGAAGATTGACTGATCAATTTATTTTTATTTTTTGAAGGAATTATTATACCCGGAAAAGCGATCCCCAATTGACTAACAACCGGATTCCGACTTACTGCTAGGTGAACAGAGTTGTATAGAGTAAGAAAACTTGCCCAACGTTTTGCCCTGCCGGGAATCGAACCCACGTCTCTCGCTTGCAAAGCGAGTGCTCTAAGCACTGAGCTACAGGACTCCACTTGAAGCATAAGTAATGCTCAGGTGGCCATTTCCCACAATGACAAGGTACGAAGATTTCACAACACAACAGGGAGTTCACACATATAGTAATCCCCATAATAACCTGCTAAATCTTCCATTTGATCATTCAATATAGCAGAAGACTTGTACAGTTTAGCTGCTGGGGAATCACAACCTGTCTATCTGCTGGATGTTTGTCACACAAACCATTCCCGAGAATTGTTTCCTTAAGCTATGTTTAAATTGTTAGATATTAGAAACCCATTGTCAGGTGATTGAGCCAGGTTATTTTCAGCTAAATTATGAGAATTTCCAGACAGTTCCATCAGTCTTTAAATCAGCTTCCACCTGAGCTCAGGTGCCCAGCTTGCAGTGTTAAACATTTTGAGACTTCCTCCCGATGTGAAATGTGCTGCCTAAATGTATTTAACACAGTATCCTGCTATAGATTTAGTTCATAGTATGTCAACCCTCTGCCAATTCCTTGTGGTATAAATGAACGTAGTGTCAGTGTCTGGGACCTCATTCTGCTAACTATGTTTATTTTCTGTTACACCCAGCCAACTCATTTATCCTCTTATACAGAGTAGTCACAAAAGGGGATGAATTTAAAATACACATTATTTAAACTAAAATGGATATCGACTCTGTACATTTAGGATGATCATGCATTTCTGCAACAGATAGCTCATCAGTATGACTGTCCATTGAAAAGCTTCAATCCAAGATGTAGAACCTCAGCATAGGCCACAAAGAACAGAAGCCTCCTGTCAAGTCCGAAGTCGGTTACTTATTGAGCATATTCTATAATACAAAACAGCTAAATCTTGTCTTGGATGTGCTATTGCAACCCTTAAGGAATAGAAGCTGTAATTATGGTTCAAAGTTAGAAGTTTTTTTTTAAAAGAAAAGTCTTACCTATCCATCTCATTAATGAAGTGACGATTTGGAGGTATTTGGTCTTCTGCACGTTAAAGAAAGTAAAAGGTCCCAGAAGCAGCGAGAATGCGGTCTGCAAAAGAAAGATTTGAATGAAAGAAACAGTGTGTTCATATTTCAGCTCAACAATCGGGTGGGAACAAGGGAGCAAATTGCAAATCACTGCTCTACTGTGCATTCCTGTTCATTTCAGTTTGGTTTATTACACAGAAAGCAATCTTCACAAAACCAACACAATTAAAACCTACTAATTAGTAACAGAGAAACATGCAATAATTTGCACCAGAAACAAAACAAAGACCAACAAAGGCCAATCGAAAATTTAATGGGAGCAATATTTCAAAGCATAATTTCTAGCAATGACATCACGTACAACATGAGGCCACTGCTGAGCACACAGAGAATGATATTCAACAACTGAACCTTCATCAACCTGAATACAGTGAGTAGACTACTATAAACCACCTTTATATAAAAAAACTCTGCATTTATATAGAACCTTTCATGTCTGGAAGACATGTCAAACGCTTCACAGAGCTGACTGAGAGCCTCGTTGGGAGTGAGGGGAGCTGAGGAAGGCAACAACAACCTCCATTTGTATAGAGCCTTTCATGTTGGGAGGAAGTTCTGAGGCGCTGGAAAATCAGGAGGAATGGTAACCAAAAGTGCGGTCAAAACGAAAAAACGGGTTTTAAGGTGCGGAGGGAGGGAGATGGAAAGTTCTGTGTAGAGAGCTGGGAGTGGGCAAGTAGGTCGTACAAATATTCTAGGCCGGATGTGATGAAGCTGCAAATAATAATCTTAGCAGCCCAAGCGCAAAAGGTAGTGGCAAAGTGGGCAATGTTGGAGGACAGTTCGAGATTAGTTTAGGTACAGAGAATTAGTTAAAAACACAGAAAGCTCAACGGGCAAAATGTTTTCACTGCACATAATGGAAATGGAGTTGATTTTGGCACCAAGTTCCGTCAACCGTAATGACCTACCCACACAATATACCTTCACTCTGAAGGTCGCTTCTGTCTAAGTAATTCAAGATTTTTAGTAGAAACTGAAGAGTAAAACAAGACTTGAAAGCTATATTCAGTGCTTCACTTTTACAAGCAGGAAGTAGACAATGTTGATTTTAATTACTCTGCTCTGGAAGAGTCAAGCACCATCTCCAACAGGACAATAATTACAACCTTGGCAAAGCAGGTGGATTTAGATTTACTGTGCAAGTCGTACATAATGATGCCAATTCTGAATATTCAGTGTGTTGAGAACAACTACTTAAGTGTAAGAGGTGTGTCCAGGTGGAATCATTCAAGTACAGAATGACTGAACGCGAATAAATGAAAACAACAACAAGATTGCATTTATAGAGCGCCATTCACGTCGGGAAGACGTCCCAAGGCGCTGGACAGTTGGGTCGGGACCCGAGCAGTGGGGGGAAATGGTCGGGGGAGGGAAGGGAGGGAGCGAGGAGGCGGTAGAGAGTCGAGAGGGGAGCTGAAGGCACGGTTGAAGAGAAAGGTCTTGAGACCGGCCTTGAAGGAGGAAAGGGAGGAAGCGGTGAAGGCACTGGGGGATGGAGTTCCAGAGCCTCGGGGCTGAGAGGCTGAAGGCCCGGCCACCGATGGTAGGGTGGTTGGGGCGGGGGATGTGGAGCAGACCGGAGCCAGAGGAACGGAGGGTATGGGCAGGTACGTGGGGGGATAGTAGGTTGGAGAGGTAGGAGGGAGCAAGGCCGTGAATGGCCTTGTAGGTGAGGATGAGGATCTTGAATTCGATCCTCTGGGGGATGGGGAGCCAGTGGAGGCGAGCGAGGGTGGGAGTGATGTGGTCCCGAAGCCTGGTGCGGGACAGTACACGAGCTGCAGAGTTCTGAATGACCTGCAGCTTGTGGAGGGAGGTGCCGGGAAGGCCGGCGAGGAGAGAGTTCCCATAGTCCAGCCTTGAGGTGACAAAGGTGAAAAGACTCTGCATGATAATGAAATATAAATCATTTCAAGCGCCCTCTGGGGGGGTGAGTTTGCCAGAGAAGGATAGGAATGACAGCCAGACTCAAGAGCAAACAGGTAAATGATCAGGTATCAGTACAAGTTGCATTTATATAGTACCTTCCAGAGAGTAAAATCTTGGCAGATTCAGAAAAACAGATTTGGTCAGAAATACAGTAGGTAAGGAGAGACTAAACTCATCAGTCAGGAAACCACTGAGGCAATAACATTAACTAACAGGTATATGCTGTCAGAGGCATATTGTCAGAGGGGAATAAAAGACTGAAAGGAAGGTTGGGGGAAGTTGGCACCAGAATGCCCAACATCACCAAGGAGAAGGAAGAGCAAAAACAATGGCAGGGACTTGTTAGCAACGATGATCTGGGGCACAGATAATAATAATAATCCTTGCATTTGATATAGCGCCTTATCTTCGAGAAGGTCTCTAAGCACTTCACAGCATATACGGCAGGTTTGTAAATATAACTTGGAATCCATTAAAGGCAAGTTGCCTCTTGAATGCCAGGGTGAGGAATATAATGACACACATTGATAAAATGGTAATTGGAGAGTCAGTGGTCACTGTTCGTGTGGGGAGGTTGTAGTACCTGGCCTATGGAGTAGTATGTGCCTGGATGAGTTGAACGGTCTTCTATTCCTAATTTTGTTACATTCCCAAAACACATGAACACTAATAATTTCCTGTGAGCAATGAAGATTTTGTGCTACATTTTGTCCTTCCCTAACAACTTCAGCGAGACCAATGGATCTTTAAAATTTGCTACAGGGTTTGTTCAAAGAACCAAGTGTGTAGAGATTCAAACCAGTGAGAATTTGGAAACAGTGAAGCATTGATGAAGACCCAAGACCAACTCTCACACTTTACATCTGTGCATGTACGTTTCCGATTGTTCATATAAGGACTTGAACCAATGAATATGGATTGGGTGAATGAAGCTGGTGAATGAAGTTTGTATGTCAGCTCTCTGTGGGGTGGCTCGATGGCTGGGCACAAACTCATTCTAATATTTTATGGATGTTCATATGCAACGGCTGGCAGGAAGTGCACCATGGATCCAATGGGCTGAACAGAACGGACGCAGCTGGAATGCAACTGATCCACTTATTCTGCCTCCAAACATTTTGGCTTGAGCCCCATGCAGAGACGAAGCAGGCTTCTCTGTGCAACAGTGAAATGTTTGTGGGACACTGCTATGCGCAATTGGCTGTCGTGTTTCGCCCACAAAAATATACAGTCAATTCAGTTTACAGTATATTCTGTGAAGCGATATGAGACGTGATAAGGCATTATATCAAAAGCAAGGATTATTATTATTAGTATTGTTCAAAGTGACATCCCAATCATATCTCCCTATACAAATGATACAATAACTTGTATTTCTACAGAAATTTTCACACACAAAATACCTTTATGTACTCGTCTTATATTGTTTTCCTTGTATGCCAACAACATCGCAATATCTATGCATGCACTGCTTGTAATGGTGTTGTCATTTATGTCATTTCTGTCAAAAAACACAACCGTTAATGTCATGCCTGTTTATCTTCATGAAAGCACACTGTACCAAATTATTTTCTTTGTTACATCATGGTATTCTGCACTAAAAAATGGCATGTGTTGCACAGACTTGGCTCAGGGTTGGGGTGGGTTGGTTAAGTACCGTGCTGAATGTTTGTTGAGCTGTCTAATTTCCTTGGTTGTGAAACCCTTTTTCCCCAACTTGCTGTAGGCTGCATTCAGTAATGTACACCGTGGACAAAATTTGGCTGTTTTACAAACCCAGTACAAAGAAAAAAACAACAGGCCATGTCCCTCATAATGTTCAGCTGCCAGACTCTTTGGAGATGTAATGGACAAAAATTAATAAATTTTCTGCCGTCTTTTTTTCCATCAAAAGATTATTTCAAAAAATTTGAGAAACTATTTAAGCTGCATTAAATAAGCTCCACTATTTCTCAACTTTTGTTTAGAAACATAAAAAGACCTCCCTGTTGCAAGAAAACTACAAATTTAAATCTCATGGAGTTAGCTTAGAACATGAATATGTAATAAGCGATGCATTTCGTCCTAGAATTTTGAATGAGAACATTTCATTTTAATAACCCAGTAGCCTTCATTTTTGTCAAATGCTGAAAATAAACCCTAGAAGTAAATATTTAAAGGTGGGAAAAGCTTTTCCTTCTGGAACTTGAAGAAATATTCTCAATTGTAATTTTGACCTGCTAAAGTGACAACCAGAAATTACTTTTTTGTAGAAAACCACATAACCAGAAAATGACTAACTTTACATGCAGGTTTGTTATTTTCTGTGCTGTATAATAGTGTGCAATGCCCAGTAACTACATGCAAAACAGAGCAGGTAAACATTAGGTAAATCAACTTTGGATGTGAAATAATAATAATAATGAAACTACCTTCCATCACCAAAGCCATTTTTCCACAGTTGTTGAGTATCTTGTTCTCAAATTTGAGATGCTAATTCTTTGACACCAATCACACAATGGGTGGAAGTTTGTAGGATGCCATAATCACCGGCGATAGATAATTCACATCACATAGTGCAAATTTCCAGCAAAATGTGCCCATTACCGGCATAATACAGAACTTTCAGAAGCATTCAGGGAAATCAAATAAAAACATCCACAGAAAATAATCAAATGAATGCAAATGAGTGCAAACAAACAAAAACGACTTGTATCAAAGGGTGCCTTCTATGCAGCATCGCATCTAGATTGTAATCACTCTTTCCCATGTGGATTACGTTCAAAGTCTTAGGGAATAAAGGGGTAAACTAGATGAGACCTTGGTATCCATCCACTTGCATTTGCTCAACATTCCCTATTCTCATACCAAAATGCCAGACTAGACTCAATACCCCTGTGAGTGTAACCTTGTCAGTAGCTGACTTCTTGGCAGGTCCTGCTATACTCATAAATATAGTCACCGACTTTTACACAGTTGGCACAAGATAAATGCTTTAGCAATGCACCACAGGTAATAGGAGCTCTCACTGGTCCTATCTTGCAGGCACCACTAGTCAGATTCATTTTGTGCCGGGGATGAAACATTGAA